TATCATAATGCCACTATCGGCCTTTATGATGCTATAAAGGATTAAATACATCCTGGCACACGTGCTACACTTTCGACGCTTTTACGAAATGTACATACTGTACTGTACATAAGCGCTACCCATGCCGCTGCACAGCACACTAAACTTGCTACTACTTAGTAGATTCCTTATAAATCTTGTTAACATAACTATCCCCTTAAATATTTAAAATGACTAGCGGGCGGCCCGGTGTTTCAGTGGTGAGCGCGTCGACCTCACACTACAGAGGTACCGGGTTCGATCCTGGCTCCAGCCTTCCTGTGTGGAGTTTGCATGTTCTCCCCGGGCCTGCGTGGGTTTTCTGCGGGTCTTCCGGTTTCCTCCCACGTTCCAAAAACATGCATGGCAGGCTGATTGAACACTCAAAATTGTTCCTAGGTGTGAGTGTGAGCACGGATGGTTGTTCGTCTCTGTGTGCTCTGTGATTGGCTGGCAACCGGTTCAGGGTGTCCCCCGCCTAATGCCCGAAGACAGCTGGGATAGGCTCCAGCACCCCCCGCAACCCTTGTGAGGATAAAAGCGGATCGGAAAATGGATGGATGGATCATGACGAGCATAATGAAGAGGGAGCATGTCTAAAGGAATTGATTGTCTCTTGGGTGTTGAAGAAAAATGCCCAACGTGGTATTTTGTGGTAGATTATGCGAGCGATTCGGTGTGCAGGTGTGCTGTCATAACAGAGAGCAGAACGTTGATAAGAACAACAGTGTTTAATGATTCTGGGAGGGAGGGAAAAGTGGGTCAGCGCCGCGGCAAGGGGAAGTCAGAAGAAAAAGCGCGGCACAACTTGCGGATAGGCGGAAGTGAAGAAGTAGAAGAATATTTCAGCCCAAAAGTTGTGACCAGGACTGCGTCGAAGGGTTCAAGCAGCAACCTTTTGGTCACCTTTTCCCTGCCTGCTGTCGATCCAGCTGTACTGTGCACACACGCACACGCACACGCACACACCTACCTTTAGTGTTTAACGCAATCACACTGGTTCATGTGTCTCTGCGGAACTTTTTTTTTTTATCGACCTTGCCCGACAGGACAAAGTCCTAGCATTTATCTGAAAGTCTGACTGACACACTAGCTCAACATGTTTGTGTGTGTGTGTGTGTGTGTGTGTGTGTGTGTGTGTGTGTGTGTGTGCGAGTGTGTGTGTGTGTGTGTGTGTGTGTGTGTTTGTGTGTGTGTGTGTGTGTGTGTGTGTGTGTGTGTGTGTGTGTGTGTGAGTGCTTATGTGTCCTGTTTTTTAATTTTTTTTATTTTGGGGTTAAATGTTAAAATTGGCATCCTTTTGCTATGTGACTTTTTTTATGACTGGCATGTATAGGTGTGCGTTTGCTGTGGTGCTGCAGTTTGTGAATGTTCACCAATCAGAGCGATGAATGTTGGGTTGCGACATCTATTAGGGAGACTTGGCCTTATTCACATTTCAAAGCAGACTTAGTCACGAAATAATGATTAACTCTGTCCGCTCTTGTATTTTCATCCAAGTGAGCAAGATTACGAAGTAAAAAGATTGTAAAACGACTGATGCTTGGACCAAAGAAGAAACTTTGCATTTTGATGCAAAGCTATTGTTGTTAATTAGTTAGTAGGTTGGTTGGTTATTTAAAACGTAGACCAAGCAAGAAGACATTACTTTATGATGTAGTTACTTTACTTAATCGGTGGGTTGGTTGGTTGGCCGGTTTGTAGTTGTTTCACTCATGGACCAAGGAAGAAGTCATTACATTTTGATGCAGAGTTACTGAAGTTAGCTTATCGGTTGATTGTTCACTTGGTTGGTTGAGCTGGAAAATGAACTAAAGAAAACAGTCCTGGTTGATTAGTTGCTCGCTGGTAGGTTGGTTAGTTATGGCATGCATAGACCAAAGAAGAAGACATTTTGGCACATGGTTGGTTGGTTGGTTGGCTGGCTAGCTAGCTAGCTGGCTAGCTAGCTAGTCAGCTAGCTAATTAGTTCATCAGTTGGTCGGTGAGTCGGTTGCTTGGTCGGGAGGCTGGTTAGTTTGTTAGGTTGGTTCCGAGCTTGTTTGCATGGTCACTTCCTTGGTTAGTTGTATTGTGAACGGACCAGGAAGAAAGCACTGCATTTTCATGCAGTGTTGCTTTTAGTTGTTTGCTTCCTGAAATTACATTTTGATGCATAGATAATTTAGTTGGTTGGTGTGTTATTGACAAAGGAAGAAGACACTACTGGTTGGTTGGTTGCATCAAAAAAAAAAAAAAATCGTAAAATGGTGGCACATGGATGAAGGAGGAAGACATTGAATTTTGACGGAGAAAGATTCCTAAATGCTTCGCGTTGGGGTTGGTGCATTGACCAATGACGAACCCCTCCCATTGAAAGAGTGCCATGTCGATGAGTTCGTTGGCTGTTCATTTGGATGGTTTGTCAGTTGGTGCTGAATGATTTTACTTGGGTGAGTTAGTTATGACTTCTTTTCTTCCTTGACTACTTTGTGTGGGCGAAGACTTTGACACCAACTTAAAGTCAACATCCATGTTCAAATATAATGTTAAATTTATGTACGGCATGTACTGTATGTAAGTAGTTATGCTGTGCAGTGTGTGTGTGTGTGTGTGTGTGTGTGTGTGTGAGTGTGTGTGTGTGTGTGTCACATCATGTCATCCAATAAGAAAGGGAGTGTATGTCCCCAAGGCAGAACTGTAAGTGCTGTTTTCCTCCACCTCCTCATGCCTCCGGCCTGGCCCTTTTCCACCCTCCCTCCTCCATCTTCCACCCCCCCCCCC